ATTTTTAGAGGTCAACGGTGCAGTAATAATTGTACTGGAAATATCTCCTCGTCATATGACCATTGTAACTGTATAATAAATAATTGACATCTATTGAATTAGGCTGAATAGGATCTGATCGAAGAATAGTCGAAATCGACTTTGTGGAGCAATATTCTATATAACTTAAAAAAAAAACGTTTGAAGTGTCAAGCTCCACCAAAAACAAAGCAATCTCGTCCCAGTTCTTCTCGGTCCATTTATCCTATTTGGACAATACTAGCTGATTATGAAGAAATAGCCACAAGATTTCAGCCAATCAGAGACGGAAAAATATTTTGAATGAACAATAATGACTATTAATTCACTCATAACGAGAGCCGGACCGTGCAAGCCCTTCTTGGAATATAGCGAAAGTGAAGAGGAATGGTTTACCCTTTTCTTGTCTGGGTCCTGCCATTTTACACGTTATGCCCCTTACTGAGAAAAACACTATTTTATGACACAACCAAATGCCTCTTTTATAGTCAAAAACTAACGTCGAACTGTGACAAAGCGCAACCCACACGAAACAGAATCAAGCGTCCAAAGAAGCACGCGTAGTTAAGTCTGCACAATTGTTGAATAGAAGAAAGAAGTCATTGAATTCCTCTTTCTTCAGTTGCAGGCTATTAACATTCTGTTCAGTTCACAAGGTGCATGCTCCCAGGCGATCGTCAATGCGGGTGGGCAGGCAATGGAGCAAAACCTGGTAACTCCAAACACTGGTGACATCACCGTTACTCGTGGATATAACCTGGCCTGTAATCACGTGATCCATACAAACTGTTCCAAGTGGCATGGTGGAAAGGGGGAGCTGGTAAGTGATGTAATTGGCACTCTAACTTATTACACTTAGTTGATGACTTTAGCCCCCACAGGCTCGTAACCGTGATAGAGAGCCGAAAGAATCTTCTTTTTAAGTTACCTGATACAGCTTTTCCTACTAAAAAACAAAAACAAAAACGTTATTGTAGCAACTAAAAAAGAAAATCTGTAGCTTACTTCGTCCATAATTGCGGCTTTTCCCAGTGCTGCAAGGAAAGATCAACCCCTGGCTTAAAACGATTTTTTTGGCGCGAAACTTCCTTCAACTTTGCTGGAGAAGCGATAAAGGAGTGGAAGAGTGACGTCATTATCATTGTTACCAACTGCCATAATCGGGGTAAAAAAGTTACACACATTTTTACAATGAAAGCATTTTGAAATATTCTTTTGTGTAACGAGCTAACAAATATTTAAGACGATGCCTTCCTTGAACTGTTTGCAAGTTGTCGAATTGCGAAGATAGCGAGGTTGTAGCCTGTTGTAAATTAGCCTATTATAAATTAGCACATTTTGAGACAAGTTTAGTGATGGTCAGTTGGTATGGTCACGAGACATGACGTCATAAGTAGCAGGTGGTCAAGCAAATTTTAAGTGAAAATACATGTTTTTTAAACACTTCTTTCAACAATAAAAGTGAATCTTGTGGCTAAAATCATAAAGAATGCTTATTTATGTGTTATTTTTCATGTAAAGCACAAAAAAATACCTTTTCTCGCAGTTTTAACCTGATTTCTAGTTAATAAAGGATTAAATTAACTGCAAATTAAAACAACGTGTATTGTTTTTTATAACAATATTTCGGCTGGCCATACCAGCCTTCTTCAGGTTTACAGATGTTACTGAACTTATGTAGCAATGACAATATTATATAGATGGAGAATGTCGCAATAAAAATTGTTTAAAAGGGAGAGGCGGAAATGAGGTACAACACAAAAACTGGAAAGGAAAAATACTAAGGAGATGGATTACAATAATTCGTCACGGCGGTTTAGGCCATGAGGTTCAAGGGTCGTGGTCTTATCTATCAGCCAGGGAGTTGCATTTGATCTTGAGAGATCTGAGATCGTAGCCCAGTTATGGTTAGAAAACTCCATACAAACACTTCTAAATTTTTTTGGGGTCGACCCCAAAAAAATTTAGAAGGTTTTGTAAGGAGTTTTCTGAGTATAACCGGCTAACATCTCAGAGACAATTTGCCCGGAAATGCTCATTTTTAGTAAGTAGGCCTCTTGGACATTGGTCTTTCAGAACATTCTGACAAATCCCATAATTTCAGAAATTTCATTTTTATGACGTCATCACTTTAGTACTCTATTGAACCCTCTCTATTTCTTTGCGACTTAGACTTAGGTCAAAGAATTAGGTGTCCCGGCCACAACCAGACTTGTCGATCTTGACGAGAGGAGTTCTGCAGTTGTTTTTAATTAGAATTAAATCAAGAAAAGAATGATCTAGGGACGAAGACGTGCTTGAAGTAAAAGAATATCAATACTTTTCACAAGAATGAAAAGCACCAAGTTGAGTATATTCAAGTCTTGTGGCGATTTTTATACATCAGTGTGATCAAGTTACGGCACTTCGAATCAAATTAAATTGGCGATGGAATGACCACTGACGCTACAGATTGGTTTGCACAGTCAGACATATAGTTGTC